AGGTCCAGGTGCTCTCTTCTGGTCTAAAAACTTATGATATTCAGACATATAGGTCCTTGCTTCCCATTCAGGAATCTTAACTTTCAGTCAGATCGGCCCAAAGGAGTGAAATTGGAACCAGGTCAAGTTGAACCCGCTTCTCTCTCACGGCTCTGTCTGTCTCTCCTGTTTCTTCACGGCCATTTCCATGTTTCCTGTTCTCCATTATTGAGCTAAAAGAGTGTAAAACGTGAGGGGACACATCTTCCAGGATTGTAAGTCTTGGGGACACAGACATTACCTCCTGAGCCCACTTTTATGAAAGTTGCTCGAATTTCCCTGTAAATGGAGCCACATTTTTCCAGGGCCCGTAATGGTCTGGCCTTCCACCACGAGAAAACGGCCTCTTGCACGTGGGATCTGATGACCTCAGGAGCGTATACTGCCCCTTCTCAGTTCCTAGGATCCAGTCGTTCATTCCTCAGCAAGAGGGGGATTCCGGAGCTGTTCACACCACATGGTACAAACCACGTCTGGTTATGGGTACATCCTGAATTCTTCTGACCACGGGGCAAATCAGGATTCCAGGCTATTGCATTCATTTTTTTTATGACTCATAGAAATTTTTCTTCTTGTAAATTCAAATATAAGTGATTTAGAAATTTTCCTAAATGGATCCTGGCTGCTCCTAGACATCTTCTGTGCCTTGTCTTTCTGTCTTGAAAAACAACGGCAACGGCCTCCTCCTTCCTTAGCATGTCCTTCAGGTCTGCATTTCTCCTTCACTCTCTTATCACTTGAGTAGCTTAGCTTTCTCCACTCAATACCCAAATCCTCACGTCTGAGTAAAATAATTTTCAGAGGAGCTGTGGGAATCCTTGGTGATCAATAAGACTTTTTCAGATTGGCATTTCATAATATTTATGGTGCTTGATAACAAATTATGAATGTGACTATCTCTAGCTTCACCTGGCTTCAGTGAATTATGAAAAGATTGCTTGCGTAAATACTCTGGCACCCAACGTCGGTATTAAACTGCCTTTGTTAATAGTGTAAGACTCTAACAGACTTCGGAGGACCAAAACACAGCTATCTCATAAAGATTTCATAACCATGAATATTGTTGAGCCAGGCTTAGGAAAAATGTTAATAACAGTTGCTGAGAATCTAGTCTTTTTTAAAAAAACTTTTTATATAGAAATTATTTCAAACTTAAAAAAGTAAAACAAAATAATGAAACTAGTAAAAGGAACACTAGCGTATCCTTTGACCCAGCCTCACCTGTTGTCACGTTTACCCCTTCGCTGTGTCATTTGTCACTCACTCTCTTACTGAGTACCCCCTCTCTACCTGCTTGCCATTTCTGACCCCCACCCTAACCTTATGCACACCATCCGCGTGTCAGGCATAAGGGAACTAAGCTTTAAGAGACGACGTGGACACCTGTTATCTTCTGCCTCCTCTCCTCCTAAGTACAGCCTAGTTTTCTTTGGAGAACTCTTACTGTCCATCCCTATGGCTCGGATGGTTGGATCCTCCTCTGGCTTCGGGTGGGTTCCTGACCCAGGCTTAGCAAACGGCCGTGTGTGTTCTTTGCTACACCGACTGCTTCAGAGACGGACATATGACCTGACTCAGGCAGTTAGAACCAATCAGCTTTGCCTCAGGATATTTCTCTGGAGCAACTGGCAAAACAATTCTCTTCCCCTGGGAGTTGTTAAGCCGTAGAATGTAAGTTTGGAGCTGTTCAACAGAGAGAGCCGTAGAGTCCTGGAATCTGTATTTACAGATAGTGACTCGCTCATGTGAGCCTGCAATTTTCCTTTTTGCTCAAACTGGGTTGATTTGGGATTCTGTCACTTTCCACTAAAAACGTTCTGACTAGTCAGAAGCTATGCCCTTCTCCAAGGTTACAAGACTAGTAATAGTCAGGTGTGGGATTTGAACTCAGTTCTGTCTCAGGTCAAAGCCCTCCCTCTTTCAAGCAGAGAATGTGCCTTTCCGTCGTCACTGAGAGCTGGAGAATAAGGGGAGAGAATCGCACACGTGTGACTTTTTAAGATGCATGTTTTAGTAAACCAGTTCCTTTTTTGACGTGTCTGGCACATGTGTCCTTGCAGAATACTAACACTGGGGACTGTGGCAAATGAAGGAGGAAACAGAAATCAAAATAACTCCTGTGTAGTGGGTATAAATTAACAGAGGAAAAAAGACGTAAAAGTCATAAAAAGTAAAACAGGCAAAAAGACAAATTGAGAAGTTTTGTAATAGATGAAAAATTGATGAAAAATTTCAGTGTGAAGAGTAAAAGGCCAGGTCATAGACTCAAATCATTACCCATTTCTGGTGTTTCCAACACTGTCCACAGAGTGAGTGGCCTCAGATCCGTTAGGTACAAAACACTTGAGTCATCTTCCGTTCTCTTTCTTGCCTCCATCAAGGAGTCTCTGCGTAACTCCTGAAAATTCTGTTTCTAGAACATTATTTTGCCTTTTTTATTTGCCATGGGCCTGGGCATTTGTCCGTGAGGCCAGGACTGCTCCAATAATATATTTGCTGTACTGCTGCTTTTAGACTAAGAATGTACCAAACTAGTGATTTTTAAACTATGACCCACTACCCGTGAGTGCGTCATAGAGCTGATTTACCAGGTCGTGGCCAGGAATTCTTTTTATATGGAATAGAATAGAATAGGACAGGAATGTAGCAAGGCCAGGCGTGGCAGCACAACAATTTACTTTCATATGGATATGGCTATAGATAGAGATATGGATATAGACAGAAATATGGATATGGATGTAGGCAGAGATTTGGGTGTTGATATAGATAGAGATATGAATCTGGATATAGATAGAGATATGGGTATAGACAGAAATATGGATATGGATATAGGTAGAGATAAGGATCTGGATATAGATAGAGATATAAATATCGAGACAGAGATACAGATATGGATATAGATATGGATATTAATATAGACAGAAATATGGATATTGACATAGATTGAGATAGAGACATGTATATTGATAGAGATACAGATATTGACATAGATAGAGAAGTGGCTCTGGATATAGATAGAGATATTTATATGGATATAGACATAGGCATTAATGTAGATCTAGGTATATGGTGTGAATGTGTGTGTGTGTGTGTACTGAGTTGCCATATAAAATATATTTCTTACAGTGGGTTATGAACAAAAAAAGTTCAAAACCTAATGAACTGGGCAGAGCAGTAATCAGCAATCAATCAAAGAGAATATATTAGCAAAGTGCTTAGCTCGTGCAGCCTTTACTGTAGGAACCATCACTATAAAATACAAATGTCTCTTGCACCGTCCTTGCTGGAAAATTACAGTGAATACGAATTTCCCTAAGTTCTAAGCACTTTCAAATGTGCTTCAAGGTTGGTCACCAGATGATGCTTCCTGTGAAACATCCTTTATCTGTCATCGCCCTCTGAGCATTTCTCCTCTCTTCTCCTCTCTGCCAAGTGACAACACCGTCCCCATCCAGAATCTTGTTCAGAACACACCTCCCCCACAACACTGTGACGAGCTTTGTCCTTGAGGAAAGCTGGCTTATACTTTGTTTGATCAAAATATTTTAACCTGTTACTAAAACAGTACATGCTTGCTGTAAAAAATTTAGAAAATACAGGGGAAAAAAGAGCTATGCAGAAAGAAAGAAATAACAAGTCACCTATACAAATCTGGAAGTGTCACTATTAACATTCCAGGTAGCTAGAAATCACCTCTAGATGACCACAGAAAAGTTTTCATTTTGTGATGTTGAAGGAGAATCATAATAATTCCCCCAATTTTTCCCAGTTAAGAATTAAAGAAACTATAACCAATGTGGACACACATCTTTGATAATTAAGCAACTAGCAATTATCGCTCCTGAGTTTTAAGTACAAGAAGAATAGGGATTTAATCAAGATTGCCTATGATTAAGGACATTTCTAAGAACTGACATAACTTACTAGTTTCATTAATAGTCTGTGCCAATTTTGCTTTGATTCAGAAAAGCCAATTCTCAGAGAGCCATAATAATGTTTTGGGTTGGCAAAAATATGACACACACAGTGGTTACACCTGATGAGGAAGCATTGAAAAATCTGTGAAAACAAAACATGGGAAACGTTAGACTAAGTAAGCCCTTTGGAGAAAAACAGGATGGATCTGTAACTCTAGTTTAAATTTCAGTCTCTCCCCCATCTCTGCCAAACACTGTTGTAAATAAATTAATGATGAAGCTGGCAAGAATAGTAAGAGTTTTGCTGAAATGCTGATTTATTTTTATTCCTCTACTTGAGCATCACGGGAAGTAAACCTGGGGTGATGAATGTTAACCTCTACGGCCGGGTTTACAGTCCCATCCCTCCGTCTTGTCTCCATCCTTCTGGGCCAGATTTGGAGCTCCGGTTCGTGTCAAATGGCACTTCGCCCTGAGGCAGGGACCTGACGGGTTGTAGGAACAGAATGAGGATTTACCCCACTGGGAACAAGTAAACAAAAAGAAAATTAGCTTTTGTTAAAGAAAGCAAAAAAGTCTGTCTAGAAGTTGGACAAAAATAAAACTTTTTCGGATACCTTTGTTGTTTGATGTAGAAACCGAGGCAATATTTGAAGTTGGCGATTCAGCAGTTCTTAGTCACTTGCTTTTCAGAAACAGTAGTGTCTGTAACAGTCATGTCTTGTGGTCTCTGTGGTCTTTTCTGAAAGTCTTTCTTATCATGGGTCATGAAAACTTGTGACAGGAATTTAACAAAACATTTAGTGTTTAAGAAATAAGATTCCATCTTGGGGCTTTCTTATGGGGAAAAAGAGAAAAAAAGTTACTGTATACAGCAAATATGACCCTTGGGGAATTGGAAAATGACCAAAGAAACGGACAGAAAATCATTTTATATCTCTCTAAGAAAGTTCTGTAAAAGATAAGACGGAGCCAGCTTTTGGTTGAATTTCTACCAAAACTAACAAGCCAAAAGGGCAAAGAATCCACCGTCTCAGGCAGCCATAAAGGTTGGTACCTGTGCCCGTTGCTCCTCGTGTTTTCTAAGGACTTTGCAGGAGATACATTGCATTGCACGTTGGGCAAGTCGATTATACGGGAAGTCCCTGCTCAGCCAGCCTCGGCCCAGGGGAAGGATGGACGCTGGCATCTGTGGACTCTTACTATGCGGCTGAACCGTTTGGAATTGCTGTAATAGGTAGGCACCTTGGGCATGTTGTTGCTTTAACCCCCTGGTTCTGCTTTGAGGCAGGCACTGCTATCCACATGAAGCTGATGAGAAGGTCAGAGGAGATGCGATTGGTCTCCACTAGGGTCACTTGGCTTGGCCGTGTTGGAGCTGGGGTTCAAACAAAGTCTGACTCTGAAGCCAGTGATGAGTTAGTTTATCAGGACAAAAAGTTATTAAGACATTCCTGAAATGTTTTGTTGAAGGTCCCCAATTAAAAATGATTCACTAAGTGTGTTAAGGTGGAAAGGAAAAGGGGGAAAAATGCAGGGACAAGGTCAACATTCATTACTGCAACAAAGACAAAGTCAACTGTGCACAGCAAGCCGTTTGCCAGGACGAAATAAAGCAACGATCTGCCTGTTAACGAAGACAGCAAGACGGCGTGTGTGAATGCGACTGTACTTTGCAATACAAAAGGAAATTCAGAAACCTGGGTGAGCACAGACTGTTGATTTTGAAAACAAATCTTAAACTCTTTACTGTGAACAGTGTTAGAATCCTCTGACTGTGTCTAACTCGTCAGACCTACATTACGGTTCTAGGACGTGAGTTTTTGTCGGCTGTAAGAGACGAATGCATGGAGTGAGTGTTCTGAGCTTGTTGGTCAAGGGCAGGGGGACCCTGTCCCACTCTTTGCAGCCCCGAATGTGTGCTCTGCTCATTAAAGACTTGGAAGGACTCATTCAGACAGATGGTTTATTATGGGCGGTTCCTTCCCTCTGAGATTTAGACCAAATGCTTACCTGTGTTTGAGTAAGCCTATTATAGATGTAAATAACCAGCATTCAACTTTTTTTTAAGAAACATTCACTGAAAGGCAAACTTCCACTATATCTCTGCATAATCCATCCAGGCCACATTACTTGAGTAAAATGTGTTCAGTTAGTCACTCAAGAGGCGGTATATTCCACTTGGAACAGTCTAGAAGTGAGGTTAACCAGGATTCCTGTATTACTCATGGCTCTAAATTTATAGCGACAAAGATTCCGCAAAATTCTATTCTTTTCTAATTTTTAATGACTCAATATTTTTTCTTTTGAAGATTTTATTTCCCTTAAATCTACACGAGGGATCTAGTATACATAGTTGGGCTATAAACAAAACGATAGCGACAAAAGTATCTCTGAATATTTGAAAGAGTTGTAATACCACTAAACAGCAAACTCTTAAATATCCATCAAAATAAGATTAAACCATTTCTAACGCCACAAGTGAAAAGCTGTTAGGGACATACAGTTAACTCTTAAATATTAACACATTGCTTTTTTGTTATTTTGTTTCACATTATCTACGTTCATTTTTTAAACTCATTTTTCATCCATTGCCTGACTTTTTAATCACCTGGCAGTTCCCCGAGAAAGGTACCAGAGGCTCCGTTTAACGGACAGGCTGGATGGGAAAGAAACTGAAACTGTAGTCAGCCTTAGACCAACTACGACAAAACCTTAGACCAACTACGACAAAGGACAGGGAAGGGCTGGGATTACTGTCACTTGCCTAGGAGCAAAATTTAAGGGGCACCAAAAAACCTCAGTAATTAAAATAATATTTTAATGAAATATTTTTAAAATAAGTAAAAATTAATTCAAAAAAATCCTTAATGAGCAAATGAAATTTTAAGTGAAGACAGGTTGTTGCTCGTTTGCTTAATTGCCCTGCATTATTGCACAACTGGAGCAGTTGTTTGCCATCAGCCCGTGTTCCCAGCCAGTGTGTCCCTCAGCCTCTGCCAGGCAGCCTGTGAGGGCTGACAGTGGAGTGTGAACAGTGCTTTGACTGTAGAACTTTTACGAACTTTTTCCACTTGGTTCAAAATATGGGAGGATATTTTGCACACAGATGCATGCATATTTTTTCTTTTACCTCACCTCCAACGTGGCTCTGCCCAGCACTGATAATGGCGTGAGCCCCAAGCAGCCGATAATTCAGAATTCATCAGCATTTACCTTTGAGTTTGAAGACAAGTGTGTTTAACGTTCTGGGGAATTTGTTTCAGATAAAGCTAGACGTTATTTCCTGGGGATCTCAGGGAATTAAAACAAGTTCTAGCTTTCTGATCGACATTTTGGAATGCTAAGGTTACTCTTAGCTCTACTTTAAGCAAAAGATGTCTGTCTAATCCCTTGGATAGCCTGAGGTGGATTAGTTGCCCAATACACGTTAGTTCTCTGATTTCTCAAACTCTAACCTGGGAAAGAACACTGTGGTTTTAGTTATTAAGTGGAAAGTGATAGTGATAATAAATAGTAATCATTGAGATTTATTAAGAGCACTTGAAGGTTTTGAATTATTGTACTTGGTAACATCAAAAGTTATTTTTTTTTGCTGGGTCTTTTTTTTTTTTGCTGAGGAAGATTCTCCCTGAGCTAACATCTGTGCAAATCTTCCTCTATTTTTTAGTATGTGGACCGCCAGCACAGCATGGCCGCTAACAAAGCAGTGTAGGTCCACGGCCGGGAACTGAACCCACGCCACTGAAGCAGAGTGTGCTGAACTTAACCACTAGGCCACTGGGGCTGACCCATGATGGGTCTTTTATATGTCCTTTAAAGGCTGTGTTGACCCGGCTCCCATTCCTAAACTCAAAATTAAGTGCAACCAAGAATCAACTTCCAGCTTCTTTCCCCTACAAGCAAAAACTAAAAGATATGGCATCCAGATTTCTATGGGATTCTTATCTCAATGTGTGAAACTCCTTGAGTTTGTATTCTGTGTCTTGAACATCATAATTTTTTTGATAAACGCATATTGAATTAAATGCTATGAATCTGAATTGCAGCAACAGCCTGACCACCAATTTTCGCCTTATTGTTTTCCAGGTTTCAAGGGGACAGAGGCTTTCACGTGCCCAGCCCACTCCAGCCCGGAGCAGGGCAATATTTCATGTGGGGACCACCAAACACACCTGGTCAGAGCCCAGCGCCCAGGAAACTCTACCTGCCCTGGTGGTGTGTGATCCAGGGAGAGTCCAAACGTCTCTGGACAAAGTCACCTTGTTGTCTGCTTACAAAGGTTCAGAGGAGCCTGGATTCCTTTCTGACACCTTGTGAAGATCTTTTTCCTGCAAACAATACCAAAATCCTCAGAAAACCCCTTCAGAAACAGCAGGTAACAGAAGTGGTAATTCAATTTCACTGAGTGGAAGGTTAGAGAGAATTTGCTGTTAGGATAATTTGAAGATCTCCTACAAATGAATTCTAAGTTTCTAGTATTTCTCCTTTTTCCTTCAGTTTGTCAAATTTATCTCTGCTGTGAAAAAACAATCACATAACCTAAAAGGATAATAATAATGGCAGGAATGTTAGATCTCGCTGTCAGGCTGGTAGATCAGAGACGAGGGGGCGGGAGACTTCCAGGCACACCCCATGACCAGCAACCTCAAGTGTGTGCAGCCTTAGAAACAAGTCAAGGAGTTGATCAAGTAATGCAGAATGCTCTCATATGGCGCATTCACTTTTGTTGTAAAGGCAGCCCAAGGAAACAGATCTAAAGGGACTTGTTGAGGGTATACAGCTATGGTCATTTTCACACAATCTCCAAAATATGTGGCTAGGCTCCGGGAAAACAAAAGTCAACCATACGATGCTGCTTAAAACTTAGTGGGATGATGTGCCCACAGCAGGAATCTGATCCTTTGACGTTAGATTTTGATGTTGGTTATGCTTATATGCAAACTTCTTAAATCGATATGCTATTTGGTGTTGAGTTTTGCTCAGTAGAGAAATGTATTATTTTTCAGATCAAAATTTCTTTTCTTTTTACTACATGGTCATTAGTAATCCCATTACATTTAAAACATATTCATTGATTTACTAGTTACAATATAAATAATGAATTTTCTACTGTTGTTTGGTTATGGGATGCAAAATTTGAAATGTCTGCTGGCCAAAACAATAACTACAAACCTTATAAAATAGTGTTAATTATACAGGATGAAAACTTGGTCATGTACTATTGATTTTACAGAGGTAATCTTGAAGAGTATAAAACTATCTTAGAATGTCCTAACACATAAAATTATCGGAGGAAGTATTTTTGATGCCTTGAGCACAGAACAATTTGACCTGGATTTTGAAAGCCGTGGAGCCTGGTTTAAAAGTGATAGGTGGTGGCATAGCCGGTATTACTGCTGCTCTAAATGGAAGAAGAATGTCAGTAGCCTTTTTCACCTGAAATCCACTGACTGAAATGGAAGGAGGGTCTGTGAGGAAGACGGTAATAGCTAAGGCTCAGTTGCATTTTCTTTCAGTCTTGCCGTCTGGCACCATAATAGTTCAAAAACCTCAACGTACAGCATTTGAAAATAGAAACTTGCACGACTTTCGGATTCTTTCAGTGTATTCACAAAAGAGATGTCCGTGTTGTCGATCCAGTGGGAGAGATGTGGTCACACTCACTCAGGCCAGCACATTGCTCAACGAGAGGAGCGAGAGCAGAGCCTTTCCCATGTTATGGAAGGAGTCTCTGTGAAAATACTGACATTTAGCTTGGAATTCAGCTGGATGTTGAGAAGTTGTCAACTCCCCAGATCAATCTGAGTCATGTTAAAAATACTTTGGAATGCGTGGTCGGTTAACTGCAGGTGTTTGGCTGTGAAAGCTGAGGAAGCACAAACATGCAGATAGAACATTGTGGTGACATGACGGGTTCACAACGGTTTGAATGGAAGCTGAGAGAAAACATCGCTTCTTACCAATAAATTTATTTCCTTTTCAGAAGTGTCTCCATGATGCCAAACATCTGGGTGAAAATCACAAAGCTTTAGTGAATTCTTTGTGAAGACTTTTCTTCGTCCATCCCGTCATTCATTTATTCAACAAATGTTTATTGGGTGTTTATTGTAGACATGATCTTACTGCCAAAGAACTTAGAAGGAGAGAAAGTTATGCACACATGTTAATATTATTACAGAAGAAAGAAACTGGAGAGTGCCACAAGAGAGACGTAAAGAGACTATCACACCTGAGCAGCTTACTCGTGCATAGCTGGGAGATTGGGGTTGCCTTCTGGACCAGATGGCGTTTGGCTGAGCTTTAAACTGAGCGTTTTCATTCTACCTTGAGTTTGAGGCTATGGAACAGAGACACTTTGGGTTGCTCTGTAAGACTGGGAAGAGGAGCGGTGAGCTCACTCCAGAGTGAGAAGAGATCGCCTTATTAAACAATAGCCTAAGATGTGAGGCTGTAAAGGTAGATGCAGATGTAAATGTCAGAATAAAGACTTAACAGTACACAGAAGAAAGAGAAGTAGCGCGTAGAACGCTATGGCAGCAGGAAAGGTGGGGAAGCAAGAAGAGGCTTGGATTATGACCGTGAGGGTGAAGGTCAGGGGTGGGTGTGCATTTCAGATCTGCCGGCTGTAGAACCAATACCACTTCTGTGCTATTTGAATGTGAATATTGATGCTTTTCCTGGTGCCATAAACCAAATTAGCGTGTACATGAGAAGGAGTGTGTGTGTGAGGGATAAGAATATATTCAATTTGGTGCACACTGAGCTTGAAGTGTAGACAGGATATCCAAGTAGGAATGTGGATGTCAGTGCTGGAGAGATGTCAGGGTGGGGCCGTGGATCTGGGAGTTCTGAAGAGGAGATAACAGAAGCCCAGTGATTGTCAGGCGAGTGTATGTTGAGAGAGAAGAGAGAAGATGGTCAAAATGTTTGATGACTTAAACACCAGGACACTTGGAAAAGTATGGATGTTCTATGCGTCTAAACCATCTGAATATCTACTTGAATTTTCACTTTTCATCTACATGGTTTAATAGATGGGAATATTTATATTTAAACTTTTTGGTTATTTTAAAATTTATTATTATATGTGGGAAGCTGTGGTGATTTCTAAAGTATGAGTTTGGTGCCAGGGTCTATATGTAATAATCATATCCTTCCTCAATCTTTATTCTTTTAGTTTGAAAAGTCCAAACAAAGGGGATTTCTTTAACTGGTCTCTTCAGTTATGGACATAATTCATTCAGTCCCCTGTGCCTTGGTTATATCTGAGCATATTTTGATGTCTTGTGTCTTGGTCTTCAAGTATGCTCATTAAAACTCTACCTGACTTCTTTATTGGAGGTTTTTGCAAGCTGCTCTGAAAATTCTTTTTTGGTGAACATTAGTTAATATTGATCACAGGAAACATTTTAGAACAGATTTTTATATCATTTGTGTTGGTTAGCTCTTGGACCACATGACATTTCAAAATCCAAAGTCAGAAAAGAATCTGGACTTCTTGTGCAAATCTTCACATAAGCCCACACTTCCTTTGTTGTGCATTGATGTCCTCCATAAAGATGTAGTAAATAGTCTTATTATGTAAAGCTATCTCATTCAAGAGAGTTTATATGATTTTGTGTGTGTGTGAAAGCAGAAAGCAGAGTGCTTCATATATAGTTGGCATTTAGTAAGTGCTAGTTCAAGTTAAATTTAAAGTGAGCTTAAAAGGAGGTTGGCACCATCAATACTTAGAAATCTAAGTCCTGTCCATCTTGGTAAACAGAGCAGCAGATCGCTGCTGAGGAATGGACCAGTGGGATGAATAATTTCCCTGGTTAGAAAACCATTTTCATAATGATAGGTCATCTCTGCAAGGAAATGTGCCTGTGTAAACAAGATAATTCCAGTCAAAACGATAAGTAATATATTTGTGTTTGAAGCCCTGGAAATAATACTAAAGAGATTCACTTACAGGTTTTCAACACGTTTCATAGATGGCAAGATAAAAGGGAATACTACATATGTGAGTACACTTTATCTCCTAGGATGTGTTAATGAACAAGGCTCTACAAATTATACTTTTGGGAGAATACCTGTAATTTTGAGAGGCGAAGAAAGTCATTCAGCCTAGGAACTGGGAGATAGGCTAAAGGAGTATTTGCAGTGAACCCCTCTAGCCTTGTGCATCTACAAAGCATATCTGGGGCAATTTAGAACCTTTCCTGCCAGAAATGATAAAAAATTAAAGCAATTTTATTTATGCAGAATTGAGATAAAATTGGCTTTTTTGAGAACTTATTGCCCTCTCAGTTTACTATGTTGCTTTAATAAGACAAGTATAATTTCGAACTTTTTGTCAGTAGCTTTAAAAAAGAAAAGAATCCTTCAATGATACAATGATAGTGTCTTCCCACCTACATGTCCTCAGCTCAACTTACAGATCTGAGGGTGTTTATACAAAACACAAAAGAACGTAAACATTTGAGAGGCCTTGTTAATGACGGTATAGAAACAAATAAGTTTCACCCAAAATTGCACAGTATATATATTTTTATGACTCCAGTCTCTCTGCCTCCATCTTCACAGAGTCGTCTTTTCTGTGTCTCTGCGGACAATAATTTTAAACCACTTGTCTGCTCTCAAGGAATGAATGAACCCTTTATAGGACTAAACTCTCTTCCCTTTCTCTGTACGTAAATCTTTAAGACAAACCATAATTCATTTTCAGAAAGAACCAATTTGGGGTAAAGGTTTTAATTCTTTTTTTTTCTTGACACATCTCACTCTTAAAAATTTGGAGAACTAACTCCATGTTTAGGAAATGTTCCTCCTCTAATTAAAAACAAAGGAGCTGAAATAATGTTTATTTTAAGGGAAATTTAATTACATATTTTTGGATTACCTAATTCCTTACTCACACACATGTTGTTTTGTAAAAACTCAAAATAGCTCTTTGAGCCTTTTGTCTTAAGAATGAGAAGTTCTATTTCGCCAAGTGTAAGCGAGTGTAGGTGCCAGGAGTTGCAAATTTTACTTAAAATTAAACTACAACTCATATTTGAGGAGACTTGGCAGAAACCTGGCAACATGTCATCCTTGGAACACAAAAAGCAGCTTATGAACGATGGATTTCTTGGTACCTAACAAAACGATCAAGAGGACGGCATAGGAGTCGCAGATGGAGACCGGGTGCTTTGTGACTGACAGCTGAGCCATCACGAATCTCTGAAAAAACTTGTAAATTGGGGAAAATTATTTTTTAAAGGTCACATTCTGTCACAGCTATACGATCATAACCAAACAGCTCATGTTTCTTAGGTGCCCGGTGCTTTGATAAGGGCTCCGTAAACCTGATGTAATTTAATCCTCTCAGCCATTGGAGGTAGGAGCTATTGTTGGGCTCGTTTTGCCGATGGGAGGATTGAGCGGGAGAGGGGTGTGGTCGCTCCTCCTGGTTTATGCAGCTAGACAGAGGTGGCGCTGGGATGTGAACCTCAGGATGTGGTGTCAGGGCCCGGCTCCACCCAGTGAGGACGCATCTCACTCAAACACGAATGTGTGTTTTCTGTGGAAAGAGCATAAACGGCAATGATCAGTTTAATCTCTCTGGTGAAAATGCTTTTTTATATCCCTTCAGTTCAGTGTGGGAAGTTCAGGAGATGGAGTAAATGATGGAAATTTTCTTAATTCTAACTTATCTTTTTTGTTTTAAATGATAATACTTTTTTCCTTTTTTTAAAGATTAGCACCTGAGCTAACAACTGTTGCCAATCTTTTTTTTTCCCCCTGCTTTTTCTCCCCAAACCCTCCGTACATAGTTGTATATTCTAGTTGTGGGTCCTTCTAGTTGTGGCATGTGGGACTCCGCCTCAGCATGGCCTGAGGAGCGGTGCCGTGTCCGCACCCAGGATCTGAACCAGCGAAACCCTGGGCCACTGAAGCGGAGTGCGAGAAGTTAACCGCTCTGCCTCGGGGCTGGCCCCTAACTTATTGTCTTTATACTTGTGATTCTTAATCTTTCCTGGGTTCCTGACTTCAGCAGTTAAACAAAAGCTAAAGGCCTTCCTTCTGTAGAAGAAACACACGCACATAAACCATTGCTAGGAGTTTCAGAAGATTCACAGGTTCCATATAACTTAGAAGGTTAAAACCTCATCTTCTCTTGCCCCTGTAGCATCATCTTCCTGGAAAATTAGATTTTGGTTAATTCTTGGGATGGAGGAGTCCCTTACCCTGTCACAGCTGTCACCTATATATTAGGTGTGTTACTTACTAGGTCAGTAAAACTGTAGTGCTTAATTACTCTTCCTCTTTCTAGATACAGAGAAAGCTTGTTGACTTGAGCAGGTGCTCCCGGTAGAGGGAAGATGTCTGCATTGAACTGGGTAATCTCATACGCCACGTGAAAAGTTGACCTGAATTTCAATGATGCATTAGAAATGTCTCTGTATAACTGCCTGGGTCTCAAGCTCCAAAAGGGATTAAATGCGTGACTTGAAGTAGTTTAAATTGGCCTCGTGTCACTCAGCCCTTGCTTGGGGTCATCTTGTCCCTGTGAGTTTTACATCCACCCCAGCACTCCGTAGGCTGCAATGCCAAATCCCAGAACTGAAGAGCTGTCGACTTGACAAGATGTTGATAGTTTTCTTCCCTCCATCAAATGGAGTGGTTCCCAAAGGTTATAGCACTTGGGATGTAGTGATGAAGCCTGACTTCTGTACACAGAATCGTGACCTTTCTGAACTGCTACCATCGTGGTGGTCTACGGCCTCTGACACTAGGGGACCCAGCCTTGATGCTGATGGTTCGCACTGCATCCCAGGAAGATTGCCAGCACCTGCATCTGACACACTCTTTCTTTGTTCCATACCCCCACTCTTGGTCCCTCACGTTCGGGCCATCTCTGACTATTAATGGTGCATCATCTCTGTGACGTGGTACCTGTGAGCAGCCGGGTCTTCCTCAATAAGAGTTTGCGGAGTTTGGGGGAACTATTATCTTTGTCTTCATGTTTCTCTCATCCCTGTCTCTCTCTCTGTGCCTCAGTTTCCTCTTCTGGGATATTAATTGGGATAATAATAATACTTATCCATAGGATTATTAGAGAGGACTAAAAGAGTTAATGCCTGTGAAGAATCTAGAACAGTGTCTGGCACTGTTGAAACGTTGGTGGTGGTTGTTATAACAGTGTTGATGGTGTTTTTACTGCCCTGGCTTGAGCTCAGATGGGAGTGGCTGGCAGCGAGTTTTCAGCCAACAGTTTGAGAGGGAAAATTCAAATATATTTATTCAATGATTTCTGTGATCACCACTGTGTGCCAGGCACAGTGTTATTTGCTGACAACTTCCCATGACCTAACAAAGTCAAAGGAACTGTGTTCAAAAGATGACGGAAAGTGTCGCAAAGATAAACCCAGAGTTTCAGGTGGAGCGTGCCTAGAAAGGTGTCCTTGGTCAGTGGAGTAAATGGCACTTGCTCGTGCACAACGGCTGAAGGCGGGGTCCCCTTCCCAGTGGAGCTCCCGCTCTTTGCACTGACGGCACTTGCTCTCGCTCTCTTTCCTGCTTGAGGAGAGAACGCCCTTTCCTCAGGGTGCCCTGCTTCATCTTACTTCTTCTCTGGGCCTCCCACGGACAACCGCAGTGCCCCGCCTGTTCAGACTGGCTTGATCCTTTCCCAGGGATGGTGAATGTTACGCCATGCTCTTTTTACCCTGTTCATCACAGTTCTTGACATCTCCTGTTGGTTTTGTAACCTGATTCAGCCTAATGGAATTGTTTGGGGTTCAAGTTGTGTCGGGTGTGGAGGCAGAAAGGTGCATAGGAAGCTGTTGTTGTCCTTGAGGAGCTCCATAGGTGTGTGTGGAGGAGACAGGCCCCAAAGTGGGGCATCTCCATGTGTTGTGGGGAGTCTGAGGATGTGGAATGCCACGGTGCCCTCCACGTTTCAGCTTTCCCTCCACCCCCAATTTCTTGTGACAGTGGGCACCACCCATTATGTGAGGACCTGGTCTCCTTGACTCATAGTCCGTAGGAATCACTCTGAGTTTTACACTCTGGTTTTTTCCAGTTGGTCATGGGTCGTACTGAGTCATTTATTTAAACTTTCTCAGCCAGTTTATTTTGACAGACGCTGGGTGTGTTTTGATGGAGAAAGCACACGCAATTTGTGAGTGTGGTGCCATGTTTCTCCTCTGGAAATAGAAGCAAGAGAGACTTCATTTATGTTTCACTGGCTCAGTGGTTACCTTGATGTTCTCCTTCTGCAAAGTAGCACATTCTGCATTATCCCTTGTGTGTGTGTGTATCTACGAGCACACATATGTGTTGTGAAGGATGGGAAGGCTATAGGAACATCGACACAACGTAGTATTTGAATAGTATTGGAGGCAAAGAAAAACAAATGACACATAACTAATTTGGACCCTTTTACATGTTTTTGATAGATTCATTTGTCTGGACCGAGTATCTCTACCTTCGTTAATCCGTAGTGCTTGCTATAAGGTGATTTCTTATTTCCTCATTTTTCAAATCAATCCGGATCTAAGTTCAGCCAATATTTAATATAGTGCAGGAATTGCCGTCACTTTTTTGACTTTGCATTGCTCTTCCGATACCAGAATGACTGTTGTTTCCTTTTAGCTATTTGCCTGCAATTCTGGTTATTTCCGCAGGAGAGCAGCAGTATCTAGTTATGACTTTGTGGGACCACAGATTAGATACGTCCCATGTTTGGATACTTAACAGTAACTTAATGGCGCATGATCCGATTTCTCACGTGATACTTTAGCCAAAATAAGGGTCCCTTAGTTTTCCTCCCAGCTCTCCGAGCATCTCATGTGATTTTGTTGTCTTTGGGCCTCTATCAGGTCACCAGCACCCCCCCAGGATTCTCCCCCTGGCCCTTTCCTATCCATCTTTTTCCTCCATATGCTCCACTGGTCATCTCATTCACTCTCATGACTGTTAAATAACATCCATAAGCTATTGAACCCCTGATCTATTTCTCCAGTCTGGATCTCTTGGCTTCCCAAAGAAATCACCAGGATTTCCCACTGGCACTACAGGCTTACCCAACTCTCTCGAAACCCATCACTTGCTCCTCTTCCTCATCCCCCTTCATGATGTAGCATCGTCTCTCCAGACAGAGACCAAGGTCACCTGATGTTCTTTCTCCTTTGCCTTCCACATGACGTCCTATCGTTCAAGCCCCCAGTGGACCACTCCATTGTCTCTACTTCCCTGACACTGCTTTAGTCGAAGCCTCTATCATTTCTCACCTGCATGGTTGAAAGACCCTCTCAACTGCCCCATCTTTAGTCTCTTTTTTCTGCTGTCCACATTGTCACCAGTGCCATCTCTCAAAAACACACATCCTTCACTGTGACTTGCCCCCATTACTCGCAGGATGAAGCTCACACCCTTCAGCAGGACCTACAAAGCTTCCACAATCTGGCCCAGCAAGCAGCCTCGCCTCCTGCTCAGGTCTCCTCACCATGCTCCCAGCAGGTCCTTCATCCCAGAGCCTTCACCTTTCCCCACAGAGTCTCTGCCCTTTTGCTCACGCTGTTCATTCTGTGAGGGACGTCCTCTCTCTCCCCTCTTCTCCGCTTAGAAAACTCTGTATCTTTCAAGGCCCATCTCAGATCTCACCTGCTTGAGATGTCTTCTCCAGCTTTCCCACGCGTGTGGGC